GAGAGACCGAGGCTAGAGGCTCATCAACGGCGGGCATGTCATCAATGACTATGAGGGGGGACACCTCCCCGACAGCACCCACAGCGCCTTTCTGCTTCTTGGTGGGGGGATCCACCCCCTTGTCACCCCTCTTCTTCTTAGCGGCCGCCTCGGCCTTCGACTCCCCGGTCCCCACAGCAGCATGGGCGTCCCCGGCGGAAGGCTCTATGGCCTTCGGGAAAAGCGCGTCAACTGGCTTCTGGCTCGAGGGCCCCTTCTCCTTTTGCTGGGTCTTGCCCTCCCTCTTCGCGAACAAGGCGTTGGCATTCATCCTGCTACCTGCAAAGAACGACAGCGACAAGTTGAAAGGTTAGAACCGAGGGGTCAAACACATGACAACAAACATAACAAAAAATCTCTAAGTACGAAAATGTAAAGCCCCCGGCCAATACCTCCTGCTCCCACGAAGGCTTTATCGTAGAGGGGATATTTCTCGTCGGTCTCCCCAATGAACCGATACCTCAGGAATCCGAGGGCATACAGGTCCTCCTCGAGGGTGCACTCCTTGATGGTTACGTTCTTTTCCCGACCCTCGAGAATCTTTGCAATCTTCAGGCCATCCTTCTCGAGGGCGGCACTCTTGGCCTTCACATGGCGCCGAAAGCGATTCCGCAACTCCCTCGGGAACGGGCTGTCGGCCAGTCTGATGTAGCACCATTGCTCTCTCCACCCCTTGTTGGAAGAAGGGGCCTCAGTGAACAGCTTGAACTGGGCTATCTGCTGTAAGTTCGCATAGCCCTCGGCATTTGTATGTCCCCCCCGACATAGGTTGAAGCTTTGGAAGAATAGCTCCAGGCTCGGCGTAACCTTCCGGAGTTTGCACAGGTTCACAAACCCCGTTATGTACGAGTGGCTGTTGGGAGTCAGTTGGCAGGGGGCCAGGCCGGTGTACCTCAGGTACTCCCGGAGGAACGGATGGAGAGGGAACCGGAGGCCCATTGAGACCGAAAGCACGTGCACGGTTATACATCCCTCGGGGGGGCCGCGACAGCACGTCATCAGGACCTGGCTCGACTACCACGGCCGAGGGCCCTACATGCAATTGGGTGATGTAGATGTCCGCCCTGTCAGCTTGGGACTTGATCTCCAGAGCGGCGGTGTCCAGGAAGGAGTAACCCTCCGGTAGATCAACTGGCCCCCCCTGATCGACGGTCTTTGCTTTCTTCTGAGGGGCGGCCTTCGTCTTTCTCTTCTTCATCCCGGGGGCCACCCGGATGGGAACTGCGTTCAGCGGCCGGGAGGTACTGGCCTCACCAGCACCCCGAGGGGGAAGGACGGCCACAGTGACCTTCGCCCTCTCCTTCTCCTCCTCCTCTTCAGCAACTTGGACGGCGAGGGCCAACTCTTCATCCTCGGCAGTTCGCTCGAATTCCTCCGCCTCGGCCTCAGCCGTCAGATCCTTCTGCACCTCAGTGGCGAGGGCTGCATCACCACAATCCGAGGGCTGACCACTGCTTGACTCCACATCGGAGATGCCTTCGTCCTCCATCGAGGGCGTCCTCGAGATGTCCTGAGAGTCACTATGGGACGACATTCGCACCCTAGTTCGAGGGCTCGTAGACGGTGGTGTTTCCTAAACTTTTCTATCTCCTAAACTAAGGGCACAGTACAGCTATGCTAGAAGGAGAAAGGCAGGGAGCACTGACCTCGAAAGCTGAGTTAGGACCGAAGGCTGCTGTTTCTCTCTCTAGAAAAATTGGCAGAGCTTCGCTAACAGGTTTTTCGCACACGGAGGAATGCCTGGCCTTGGGGTACTTATAGGCGATAGAATCCGGGCTTGGGCCTGGATTCCGGGCCTTCGGACGGACGCCATCATTACGCGCCGTCGTTTCACCCAACCGGTGACGCCGCCCATGAACAGCCAGCCATCACACGCCACGTGTGCCATCCCCCCAACGGTTATATCCTGTCGTTACGTATTCCAACGACTATATTTCCAACGGCTATATTCTGGAAGCCCCCGGGTTTCCCACTTCACTCCACTTCATCAAGGATTGCCTCCGGTTGCACTCATCCATAAGTGCCCCCGGGTTGTGCCCCACACAGCACATTACACACGCCTTCGGGATCACTCCTTCAGATCCCCAGGGCTGCATATCAGGGGCACCCCTCGGGGTTCCCCATCAGCACTGCGAAACCGGGTAACCCCCGGGGAGTGCCTCATTGACGGAGGGCCCATGGCACACAGGTAATGGGAGCCCTCGGGTATCTTCATCACCAACTCATCAACGAACAGTGGACCCCCCGGTAACAACTTCACTGCTGCCCTCATCTGGCAGGCCCTCGATCCCTGGATTGAGGGGCTCCCCTTCGGCACCACCAGGACATCAACAGCAAGCCTCAGAAGAGAGAGCCTTCGGGATTCCCGTCATTCTCCATTTTTTACCAAGGTTGATATTTTCGTTTCATCATTGGGGGAATTCGGTGCACTCTTTTTCCCTCATTAGGATTTTTTCCCAAAGGGTTTTTCCTAATGAGGTTTTTAACGAGGCATCCCCCCAAAATGAAACGAAAAGCGTCAGCCTTCGGCCCACAACAGCAACGTAACTACTTTACTCCTTTTCACCACTTTACAAGTGCCTCAAGGAGTGGGGGACTGGAGGACCCCCTCGGGAAAATCATTAAATTACAAAATCTGTGAAATTCCAACAAACAACAAAGCAAGCCCTCAAGTCCCGACATGTGGGTAACTGAGGGACTGCCTTCGGCAGGGACATAAAAGCGACAACTCCTCACCAATTTCAGGAATCACGATGGGACAACATCAAGGGGCAAGCACAAGTTACTCCTTTTCCCTCAAGTATCTTTCGGCAAAAGGAGTGAGGGACTCCTGATGGAGTATATGGCCCGGGAACCCCCGGCCCACAGACTCCTACTACTCCAGGAAAGGCCCAAAAGGCCCAACAGGCCCAAATCACAGCGCCCAGAGTACCAAACAGCTCGCACTACGCGCCAGGGGTGCCTTCGGCCCCCCGGCCGAAGGCTCTAAATTCTCACAGAACGGGTTTCTCAAGCAAACTAAGAAACTGGGAGAAAACGGCGAAAACAGTAGCCCTCGGCATTGTGAGCCCTCGGCACCAGGGTGCCATCGGGTGGAAGAGCCCTCGGCTACTGCTCTATGGCCGAAGGCATCTCACTCGACAAGATATCCGCCTCACATGCGTACAGATCACCGTACCCCGCACAGACGTCCCATCCAACAGCCGCATTAAATGCGGCCACATGCGGCTGCCAGCGCCAACCGGTTGAGGTGACCCCTCGGCCAATGAGCGCTTGACACGTGTCCCTGCCCGGCATTTATTGCTACTATAAATAGCACCCCATTTCCCCATTTGTAACCACGCTGAAAACGCTCCACATTTATAATACACTCTCTCTCTCTTACTTGTTTGCTCTGACTTCTCTCTAAGTTATTCCCCGTAATAACCCTTCGGATATATACCCCTGGGTAGACTATCCATCAATATATATATATATATATATATATATATATAATGAAATAAGTGTCCAAATACAATTAGGATACTGCCTAATAATTAATAACAATTAATACTCTTAATCATTTACTTAATTAAGTCATAATGACGTGACAAGTAGTTGGTAAGCGTATACCATACAACCTGTTGTACGGTGTCAGTCGTACAACTGATGGTTTTTTTGTAATTTTAGTGAAAAACGCAACTTCTCTTAAATGAGCACTAATACAATTTTGATGAGTATCAAACTCGTTCTTTTGAGTATTAAGAGCCTAACAATGAGCATCAGTGTTCTGCTTCATATTTTCTCATTCACTTTCTTTTTATTATTTTATCGTTTATAAAAAAATCTTAAATTATGTCTATAATCAATTCTAATTAATTTAAATATGTGAATCTAATGTAGTATGATACGTTTGAAATGTGCATCATTTTAAAATGAGTATAAAGCGGTACCAAATGAGCATACATAATTTACAAAATGAGTATAAAAAATTGAAAAGCTCATTTGCGTATGCTCATTCATTTTGGGCGTTATACTCATTTGAGTTTAACATAAAACTCTTTTATAATGTGCTCAATATTTATTTGTGTATGTTCATTCCTTTTAGGCGTATACTCATTTGAGTTTAATATAAAACTCATTTGAGATCAATAACACCAAGGATTGCTCATCAACAAAGTAGACTCCCATTGTCTCCGAAAATACAAGCTCAAACAGCAAAACTATGTCGGTAACTACGTCGGAAAGAAAGAAAAAAGGGAGGAGAAGTAACTACGCCGGAGGAGAAGGGGGCGAGTGATGAGTGGTGGCGACGAGCAACGAAGTGGAGGAGAAGGGGGCGAGTGATGAGTGGTGGCGACGAGCAACGAAGTGGAGGAGAAGGGGGCGAGTGGTGAATCAGATCGAAGAAGTCAAGGGAGATCGAAGAAGCCAGGTGCGAAGTCCGGTGCTAAGCAGATCGAATGTCCACTGCGAAGTCCTTTGCGAAGCAGATCGAAGCCAAGAAGCGCAGAAACCAAAAAATAGGCTGGTTGTACCGTGCGAACGGTACAACCGATTGTACGATATATTTTACCGACAAGTTGTCCACTAATCAGATAAACTGACTATACCAATTCTAAAAACTTTTTTTATATATAGTAATTCTAAAAACGTTTAATAAAAACTCAAATTTTAATGCATTTATTAATGTATAATCATTAACCTTTAATTATAATAGTGAAATTGTAAGGATATTTTTTTATCATCAATTAACTTTTTATCAATCAAATTTCAAAGTCCGATTTTTTTTTTTACGCAGATAAATTTCGTTTACCCACGCCATTATACGGAGTATCAAACTACAAAATCGTATTTTAGGATTTTTAGCAACGGATTATCTGACTTTTGTAAGCAAAAGACAAAAAGACGCCGTTGTTCCGTCTCCCAAAAAAATAATCCAAAATCAATCTAACGTACACCTCCTTAATTAATGAGAAAGTGGATTGGTAAAAACGAAAATGGCCGTTACTACCCCCTCTCTCTTATTCCCCCACTACTTCCTTCCACTCTTCTTCTTCTTCCTCTCCTCCTCGTTCCTGCACTTCTCCCATTTCCTGTTTCTCCGTGAGTTTAATCAATTCTTTTTTTTTTCGTATTGAATTTTCTGTGAATATAGGTAGCTATCTTGTATGGGAATTTAGTTTGGGCCGCCTGTTTAAAAGAATTCAATGCATGAACCGACACAACCGCTGGATTATTGAAAGCAGGAAACTGAAATTTTGGCCTGCTTCTGCAATTATTAGGAGTGTTTGGCTATTGAGAGAAACAAAGGGAAACATCAATTTCTTGGAAGAGTGCCGTTGAACTCCAACAGCGCAGCTATTTTCAAACTTATATTAAGTTTTCGGTTTTCTCTGTTTGAATCAGATAAAATCGGATATATATTGGCTGTTTCCAGCAACCCACAATCTCTCTTTCCATTTTCTGCTGCAAGTTCGTAGCTTTTGAATTCTGGAACTGATTTGCTCAAGATTCAATTTTTCAGATACCCTTTGTAAGCTTCTCTCCTTATCTATCTATTTCTTTCTTTCTGTATCTTTTCGTTGGTTAATGGGGGCGTTTGGTCTGCATAATCTGATATTACACAGGCAACTTGAGTATGGAAGATCAGTTTAATTGATTAGTCTGGATCTCCAAAGATGGTATCTTTTTTTAGTTTGAGTTTTCATAGTACTTTAGTAAGCTCATAATACAGCCACACAGGAAATGGGATAACGTTACAGGTGAATTAATTATTTGGGTTACATAGATATTCTACGATTTACTTGATAATATTCTATAAAAGTACCTTGAATAAGATATCATATCATTGTTATTCATGTACTCTCTCCGTCCCTTAATGTTTGTCTTACTTTGACTTTTGCGGTCTTATAGGTAGACGTTTGACCGTAATTATCTATTAATATACACCTGTAAAATCTATAATAAATTAACATTTGAATAATACATATTACAAAGAATCACATTAAATAATTTTTTAAAGATAAAATATTATTAATTTTGAGTAATTAGTGGTCAAAGTTTAACAAATTTGGTTCAAAAAATCAAAGTAGGACAAACATTAAGGGACAGAGGTAGTATTTGCTTTGAAAAAGTGGCTCTCTTAATACCACACAATAGGTCACATTTGGCTTTTTAGGACAAAGTATACTTTTTTTAAAATTAGCAGTTCTGCATTTGTATTTTAGTTTTCTTAACAAATACGGAGTAATATTTTTATATCACTTTCATGCTATGAAATCATTTGCTAAATAGATATATTAGTAGTTAATACTCAACAGCCACCATTTTCAAATTCAAACATGACCTATCTTTTGGGAATAAGCCAAGAGGGGAATATAGTATGACTCCCCGCCCACAATGTAAGACATTTAGATTTGATGCTGATTTTATTACAATGCAAGATAAAATTGTTGTTTTACAACTTTAATCTTCTAAAAACAAGAAAAAGTAGGATTTGAAGGTGATATAATAGATAATGGAAAACCAAGTATGGAGTAGTTACTAAAGTTTAATTTAGGAAAGTGTTAATATTTTTCTTACAACTCAAAAAAGAAATTGTATCTCAAATTCTCAACCTAAATGGAATGGGGGAGTATTATCATCTCAACCAAGCAAATGAAATAATTTTACATTCTTACAATCTTATACCTAGTATTAATTAGGTAACCTTACATTCTCTTCAATCAACCACATTAATCACTGAATCAATATGAAGTTTGGTTTATTTTCATGGTTATGTGCGCGCGCGTGTGTAGGAGAAGAGATTGGTTAGGAGAAAGCAGTGGCGGATCCAGAGATTTGTGAGAGCGGGGCACACTAGACACTAAACTTAGTCTATAATAAAAACTCCTGGCCCGAAGCGGGGCACTGGTTTTTACCTTAAGTGCTATTAGTGAATTTCCAGGCCTGAAGCGGGGGCACATGCCCCCTAGCCCCCCTTAGGTCCTCCAATGGGAGAAAGTGAGAAACCCTCGTTGTGAAGGAACCTTAATGGAGAAACTCCACTTGACCAGTTGACCGGACTGAATATATGATGTATCGTTTAGCTTATTTTTTATATGAAAAAATATGTAGGAACTAGGAAACCCATGTAGTGAAGGAAACAAAAATAGGAGCTTTATTAATGCAAGTGTATAAATGGGGATTTTTTACGCCCTAGAAAGAATTGAATGCTACGGAGTATTCCATACTTTGTATTTTTCTTTTAAAAATAAAGAAAAGATGCATAATATTCCACCATCATTATTGAAGTATTCAACAAGGAAACAACCCTACTTTTTCTTTTGCTTTTATGTTTCCCTTACTTTATTAAATTATTAGTCTATCTCTGAGATTCTATATCTATGACTTTTACTTTTATCACTTTTTTAGTTTTTTTATACTCAGACTATGCAACCTTCTTCTTTATCAAGATTTTTGTTTTTAGGATGATAATGCCCTTAAAATTGTACTCCGTAAATGCCATGGCAATTAAAGAATGTATCATTGATGAATTTTAAAAATGTAACCTCACCTGTTAATACTGTCTTTATAAGCCTCTGTACTAAGTAGGACGAATTAGTGTGACATAAGTTTCATGAATGTTCCTTCCTGATCGCTTACTTCATATCTGACCATCGTAATAAAACTTAATTGACTAAATACAGGAATGTTTTTCAAATCTCAACAAAAAATAATACTAGTAATAAACTAAAGAATTCTTTTTTCAATAACTTTAAAATGCTACGTATACAATATCCAAGTCTTCTTAGTCTTGGAGTTTAAAAGCTTTTGGTTTCATTATTTCATTGGGATTACCGCTCCAGCTTTCCAACAACTTAATTAATTACGTATGAAGATTTTATCACAAAGTAATATTTGAAGAGGTATAGTGTTGACTACTTTTAAGTTTTAAGGGCTTTAGTGTTATTCCTTTAAGTTTACACTTGCCATATAGAGAATTGAAATTCACTCCTTAGAATATGGTAAAGGTGTGAACTATTTCCCTTTTTGTTTTCTTTGCCTAGTTCAAGTATTTCCAAACACATTATTGTGTATTAATGCATCCTTCTTCTTTCTATCCAAACAGGGAGGTTCCTCTTAGAAGAAGAATCAACATTAAGAAGAAGCAATGGGAATCAAAATCTCAGTATCATACATTGCTCTTATTTTCATTTCTCTAGCAGTTCTTCCTCGGATTTCTGCACTTCTGGAATCTGATGGAAATGCTCTACTAGAGTTTGCTTCTGCTGTTCCACATGTCAGGAAGCTCAACTGGAATTCTTCCACCCTGATCTGCAGTTATTGGGCGGGCATAAAATGTAACAGACATGGAACAAGAGTTATAGGTATCCATCTTCCAGGTGTTGGGTTTTTCGGTCAAATTCCAGAAAAGACCATAGGAAAGATGGATGCTCTTAGGGTTCTTAGCTTGAGAGGAAACCATTTAAGTGGACCTCTTCCTTCTGATATCCTCTCCATCCCTACCCTTCAAACTGTTTACCTTCAAGACAACAACTTTACTGGACAAATACCCACCTCTCTATCTCCCAGACTTGTTATAATAGATCTTTCTAGCAATTCTCTTTCTGGGGACATTCCCGTCAGTATCAAGAATTTGACACATTTATCTGTTCTTAAGCTTCAGAACAATTTCTTATCTGGATCCATCCCAAATCTTGAATCTTCAAAGCTTAACTTCTTGAATTTGAGTCATAACATGTTAAACGGGTCGATCCCGGATTCCTTCCAGAACTTTCCAGCTGCTTCATTTCTGGGTAATTCTCATCTTTGCGGGAAACCACTCTCACAGTGCTCTACAGGAATAGTGAAAGAAAAAGATTCAATTTTGAAGAAGAAGAAACTCAGTGTAGGGACTGTGATCGCCATTGTCATTGGTGTGTGTTCATTTCTGGCTTTCTTGGGATTGATGATCTCATTCTTCTGCTTGAAGAAGAAAGTCTCTGATGGGAGTGATGGTAAAGAGAAGGTTGCTTATGGCGGAAGGAGTGAGAAGCCAGAGGATTTCGGAAGTGGGGTCCAGGATGCAGACAAGAACAAACTTGTGTTCTTTGAAGGATGTTCTCACAGCTTTGACCTTGAAGATCTGTTAAGAGCTTCTGCTGAAATTCTTGGGAAGGGTAGTTATGGAACAGCGTACAAGGCTTGTTTGGATGAGTCAACAATGGTGGTGGTGAAAAGGTTGAAGGAAGTTGGAGCTGGGAAGAGAGAGTTTGAACAACACATGGAGTTTCTGGGAAGGATTTCACGCCACCCAAACTTGGCCTCTCCCCAGGCTTATTACTATTCAAAGGATGAGAAGCTTGTTGTTCATGAGTACATGCCAGTTGGCAGCTTGTTCGAAGCTCTTCACGGTATGTTTTTTCCAGTATTGTGCCAGTATTTGATAACAACCAAGCAGGTTCAGATTGAATGGGAAGGGTTTTGAAAAGTTTTTGAAGATAGGGTTTTGAAGGTTTATATTTACTATTTTGATAAATCCCTTTAAGGTTTTATAAAAAAATTAAAAGAAATACCTCAAAACACACTTAAACATACCCTAGGCAATTGAATATTATAGCCTTATAGGATGAAATCATACCAGTAATTTGGATTGAACAACTAAATTCCCCATTTGAGCCCTCACATTTTAAATCTCAGTTTATCAGGTTACGTTTGGAAACCAAAAGGGCAAGGAAAAGAAAGACATGTTAAAGAAAAAGGTGTCTGTTTTGCATTATAAAATACAAAGGAAAATCAGTCTTGATTAGATATTTTTGTGATTTTGTTTATCTAGATTTCTTATTCTTTAGATTTTTTTTTGAAAGATTGTATGCTAAGAATATAAATAAAATAAATTTCAACAAATGTTCTCCCAAAACTTCTTATTTTTTCTCCATCTTTTCTTGGTTGAAAAACCTTCATATTTTCCCCTACTAGCTAGATTTGCTGCTCCTCATCAAATGTGATCACCAAACATAAAAACTGAAATATGCCACCTCATTCTCCTTATTTCACCAATGTGATACTCATTTCATTTGGATCAAATCATTTTGTTTAATTAACTAATCAACTAATTACCATTAACTTATTAAAATTTGATCAGCAGGGAACACCAGCATGGACAGAACTCCACTTGACTGGAAATCTAGACTGCACATAGCATTAGGAACAGCGAAAGGAATCGCACACATCCATTCCCAAGGCGGCGTCAGATTCACCCACGGCAACATCAAATCCTCCAACATCCTCCTCACCACCACCCTCGACGCCGCCGTCTCCGACTTCGGATTGAGCCCTCTCATGAACTACATTGCTGTCAAACACCGGGGCCCCGGTTACCGGTCGCCTGAAATGATCGAGACCCGAAAGATCACCCAGAAATCCGACGTGTACAGCTTCGGCGTCCTCCTCCTGGAGATGCTGACGGGGAAGTCGCCGGTGCCGACAGGCCGAGACGACGTGGTCGATTTGCCGCGGTGGGTCCGGTCCGTTGTTCGGGAGGAGTGGACGGCGGAGGTTTTCGACGTGGCGTTGATGAAGTACGAGAATGTAGAGGAGGAGATGGTGCAGATGCTTCAGGTTGCTCTGACGTGTGTGGGGAAGGTGCAGGATGTGAGGCCCACCATGGATGAAGTCGTTAGGATGATCGAGGATGTTTGTCAGCCGCCGGAGGAGGGAAGTCAACCGTCCTCCGGCGACCGGTCCAGATGCTCCACTGCACCAACTCCGGAGTGATACAATTTCAAAGGCTGTTTGGTCGGAAGATTTTGGAGGCCAGGACAATGGACTTGTGTGTTATTAATTAATTTATTTATTTCTCCACCACCCTCTGATATTTCCTGGCCCAAACAAGGTCTTGAGATTTGGCTCCATAAACAGATAAAACGAAAATTGATTTGGTTTTGGCCAAACAGAGCTTCAATTTCAGTGCTCTTTTGATTAAGAATTGGTTTATCTGTTCCTGGAGCCAAATGTTAATGTTGTTTAACCTTTGGCCTATATTGATGGCCTAGTATACTCATAATTCTTTGATCAAGCAGATCCACTGTAAACTTAGGTTGATGATTACTAATTATAATCTACTTTTTAGCACAAACATGAATTTTGTTCAATCATCTTATGATAACAAAAGGGGTCATGATACTTCAAATTTTCCCAACCCATCATCGTAAAAGACTTCAGTAATCTATTCTTCGCCAAAAAAAATGATGAGACTATCGTACTCAATTAAAAAATGAGTTACCTTATCTATCATTCACTTCATTGGCTTAAGCCATTTCATTACTTTTAATCCTCTCCTTAATCCTCTCCTTAATAGCACTACAATTTTTGGGGAAAAATTCCCGCTCGCCCGAACTCACATTTACGGCTGTAGATTTTAAGCACCTAATCTACGCCTTCTAACATCCTTCCCATTCCTTCTATACCTAAAATCCTCTCCTTAATAACACTACAACCTTTGGGGGAAAAATCCCGCTCACCTGAACTCACATTTACGGCCGCAGATTTTAAGCACCTAATCTACTGCTTCTAACATCCTTCCCGTTCCTTGTATACTTAAATCCTCTCCTTAATAGCACTACAATTTTTGGGGGAAAATTCCCGCTCGCCCGAACTCACATTTACGGCTGTAGATTTTAAGCACCTAATCTACGCCTTCTAACATCCTTCCCATTCCTTCTATACCTAAAATCCTCTCCTTAATAACACTACAACCTTTGGGAAAAAAATCCCGCTCACCTGAACTCACATTTACGGCCGCAGATTTTAAGCACCTAATCTACTGCTTCTAACATCCTTCCCGTTCCTTGTATACTTAAATCCTCTCCTTAATAGCACTACAATTTTTGGGGAAAAATTCCCGCTCGCCCGAACTCACATTTACGGCTGTAGATTTTAAGCAACTAATCTACGCCTTCTAACATCCTTCCCATTCCTTCTATACCTAAAATCCTCTCCTTAATAACACTACAACCTTTGGGAAAAAAATCCCGCTCACCTGAACTCACATTTACGGCCGCAGATTTTAAGCACCTAATCTACTGCTTCTAACATCCTTCCCGTTCCTTGTATATTTAAATCCTCTCCTTAATAGCACTACAATTTTTGGGGGAAAATTCCCGCTCGCCCGAACTCACATTTACGGCTGTAGATTTTAAGCACCTAATCTACGCCTTCTAACATCCTTCCCATTCCTTCTATACCTAAAATCCTCTCCTTAATAACACTACAACCTTTGGAAAAAAAATCCCGCTCACCTGAACTCACATTTACGGCCGCAGATTTTAAGCACCTAATCTACTGCTTCTAACATCCTTCCCGTTCCTTGTATACTTAAATCCTCTCCTTAATAGCACTACAACTTTTGGAGAAAAAATTCCCGCTCACCCGAACTCACATTTACGGCCATAGATTTTAAGCACCTAATCTACGACTTCTAACATTCTTCCCATTCCTTTTATACCTAAAATCCTCTCCTTAATAGCACTACAACTTTTGGGAAAAAATTCTCGCTCGCCCGAACTCACATTTACGGCTGTAGATTTTAAGCACCTAATCTACGCCTTCTAACATCCTTCCCATTCCTTCTATACCTAAAATCCTCTCCTTAATAACACTACAACCTTTGGAAAAAAATCCCGCTCACCTGAACTCACATTTACGGCCGCAGATTTTAAGCACCTAATCTACTGCTTCTAACATCCTTCCCGTTCCTTGTATACTTAAATCCTCTCCTTAATAGCACTACAACTTTTGGAGAAAAAATTCCCGCTCACCCGAACTCACATTTACGGCCGTAGATTTTAAGCACCTAATCTACGACTTCTAACATTCTTCCCATTCCTTTTATACCTAAAATCCTCTCCTTAATAGCAGTACAACTTTTGGGGAAAAAATCCCGCTCACCCGAACTCACATTTATGGCCGCAGATTTTAAGCACCTAATCTACTGCTTCTAACATCCTTCCCGTTCTTTCTATACCTAAAATGGCTTAACACGCCTAAATCCCCCCACTCAATTTTTTTTCATCTTCATTGATTATTTCTTTTATTGCATAGCTTCTCTAGCCCTTTCCGGCTTTCCGTACTCCGTAACTTGCCACAACCATATGACACGTACACGAACTCTCAATTCGATGCTTCCAGGTTGAATTTCATCGAGATCAACAGTTTTGAGCGGCATGGTTGACAGAAAATGGCCGCCCCCTCCGGCAATAAAATTCTTGTATTTGTTTTTTAGAATGAGTTGAATAAACAAATGTGTGGTTATTTTTAGTCCGTATATACGAACATTTGTTAAATAAATATGTAGCATATATTATTACTTCAATTAAGTGTGTATTTCTTATGGTAAGTAATTAGGGTATTTTATGTCTCAACAATATTATGAGCAATATTAGTGCACAAATTGTGATGCTACAGTGCTACTTGTGTAGCCATACTGATTACGAATAAGTTCAGTTTTATTACCTTCCATCATTTGTATTCTTGGCATATATGATGTAGTTGAAACGTTCTCCCAAATAATGTTAATTGTTCATACTTTAATTGCCACACGGACTTGAATTACTACAATTTATTCTGTTGTCTTACAGAATAAATTATTCAATTTTATTTTCTTCCTTTGTATTGTTTCCATATATTGTCAACTTGGAACGTCTCTCACAGTTAATGCTATGGATGGGTGGGAAGTAACTGGCGTGACAGGTTGTTTTTACCAATTTTGCCCTTTAATTTGTGGCATTTTGGGCGGCAAGAACTGATTGCACTTTGTTACTTTATATATAATAATGGGGTTTACCTGCAATTTCTTGATAATTGTCATTAATGTAGAGAAGAATGGGCTATCCTCTGATCATATTTGGTATGCAATAGGGCTAAATAAAGTATTATTCTAGCAATATTGACAAATCTTGCCCCCAGATTGGAATGTTTCTCTCATTTTGTGTGTAACGACAAATCTTGCCCCCAGATCGAACATAACTACAAAGAGTTATAGATGCCTTTTGGCCAAATTGTGATTATTTACAATATTTGACTTATAAGAAATAAAGGCATCAAGTGGCACGCTAACTGAAAACCCATCCTCCTATTTAAGATAGTGTCTAAGAGATTCCAAATCTATATAAATCATAAGTATGACCGGAACTTATATTCTTATCATATTAAATGTTGGGTTAATTTCCGCCTCTTTGTTTCTTCTCTTATCAAACACAGTATTGCAAGAGGAGGAATGTGGATTGAGAAAACAATCAGGGTGCAGTTGGGTCGAAGTGAATGAATGTTTGTCCAAGTTTATGTGTAACGAAAATCTTGCCCCCAAACTGGGCGTAACTACAAGGAGTTGTACATACTTTTATCCTCATTGTGATCATATTAAGGAGAGGATTTTAGGTATTGTAGGGATGGGAAGGATGTTAGAAGCCGTAGATTAGGTGCTTAAAATCTACGGCCGTAAATGTGAGTTCGGGTGTTTTGGATTTTTTCCCCAAAAGTAGTAGTGCTATTAAGGAGAGGATTATCCTTCTAAATTGAACACATTTTACCTTCAGTTACGTAAAAATTTCAAAAATTCAACTGCTAATTTTCTTTACTTTCATTGTACGTTCAAACTTTTTATTAATAAATTCGGGATGTGTAATGTGTTCCCTGGCACTCCCCCACAAAGAGTGGTTTCTCCGGGATTCAAAAAAAATCAAAATTCAAATAATGAAAAAAATTGTTGAGATTATGACCATACATTGTACATACATGATATCCCAATGTTCAACTATCACAAAAATATCCAAGTGCAAACATTAAATTTAAACATAACAAAAACATAAAGGGTTCAAATAGGCATCAAGTGTGAAGAAAAAAAAAGTTTAATAGCTACAAGGTATATATCCAATAGCAGACAGTTCAACCCCAAAATAATATTCTTACTAGTATGGCATCATAAGTAGAAAGTATGTACGTAGTAATAAACTGTTCGGTAATATTAGTAGTTTACTACTTTACTGTGAACAAATAACAACGTAATCGACAAAATATTAATTCTTTTTTTAGGTCAACTCAAATAACAAATACAATTAAAAACAAATAATAAATATAAAAGTGGACTAAAGTAGTAAAATAACAACTACTCAAATTGGTCTGATCCACAATATACAAGGTATATTATGCAAGACGAATATTCCTGATAAGAATTTCCTGACCATAATGTCGTCTAGCCACCTTCATTTAAGGTGTTTCCGGATAGCAAGAATTCCTGAGTTAAATTAAATATCGAAAGCCATTGCATTTAAAACGCACTTAAGACACAATAAATCTGTGTCTGTATACAGCTGGCAGGTGTTTTGCAACAACACACGAAAACATACATATCTCACGTAGTTTTGAGCTGAAACCCACTTCCAGCTTTGGCATAATAATTTGTTTAACTAAGTTCACGATTGAATTTTAAGCTGATATTTGGTTGAGATAATGTATAGGGAAAATGGAAACTAATAATCCAACCTTTTAGTGGTTTTTGTAACAATGGTCTCACCTTTTGATTATTCAGGAATAATCCAACCTTTACACCCCATCTTCATTCAATGGTCTCTGACCGGTTTATGACCTGCTATTCCAAGTTATTTTCTTATCTTTGCAATATATTATACCATAAATCTCACCTTATGGTCACATAATGTTTTGCAAAGATAAGAAAATAACTTGGAATAACAGGTCATCAACCGGTCAGGGAATATTGAATGAAGATAGGGTGCAAAGGTTGAATTATTCCTGAATAATCAAAAGGTGGGACTATTGTAAGAAGACCGCTAAAATGTTGAATGATTAGTTTCCATTTTCCCTAATATATATATTTCATGAAAAACAAGCTCATAAAATTTCATCAAAAAAATTCACTCAGAAGCACTTAAATGAAGATTACTCATGCAATGTATAAGTTCGGTTCCTGCCTAAGAACCAGAAGTGAACTGGAACTAAACCGGAACCGAATCGTTCAAGTACTATAGGAATCGAACAAAAAAAATAGAAGTCCAAAATTACAGGAATTGAACTTGATAATTCGGTTTTGTGTGGATCAATTATCTCGGTTTACGGTTTCAAATCAAGGGC